ATATATATTTTTTTTTTCCCCTGTCAAGTCTCCAACCTTCTATGAGCAAGTATGCAATGTTAAATTACGTTATGACAATGCAAGCAGTTAAGCAATAACCAATTAATAATTTAATCTTACCATGAAGTATGCTGGGATAAATAACAAGAGACATGTGAGATCATTCATCTAGACATTTACAGTACATCATTCTGTAAGCTTATGGAATGGTACCGGAAATGCTGGAGTAGCAAAACCTTGTGGCATGTCAGCAATCCTGGTATTCAAAACTTGCACACTAATAATAGCAGTTTGTCCATATTTAAACATAGCAAATACTACACATTTACACTTTCAGACAGATGATCAGTCACAGTCTGAAGGTCTGAGCCTTAATGTATATTTTCTAACCAACTTTCACAGAGATAATGTAGTTGTGTCTAGCAAATTATTTGGAAAAGTCCAATGGGAGTGCATATTACCAATTAGTAATTAGTCAAAATCTATGATTGCTAGATTCTCTTGGAGAATAGACCGCTTTTCAGTTAGTAAACACCGTGACTTTAAAAAATATATATTTTCTTTATTAAGTTTTAACACTTACAGTTACATTCATCACTCCAACCCCCTCCAACGGCATAAAAAAACCATACAATCCAGAGTACAAAACTGACAGTGAAGGAATTAAGTGTCCCATGTTTGTTCAGTCCATAAATTATCATTTAACATGAAAGGCCTGACAACAACAAGGAAACGTATGGCTAATAAATATGATGAATATGGCAATAAACAAAAATGTTCACAGAAGGGGCACACCCTCATCAAAAATAAATAAGTAAATATGTACACCCTGTAAGAATACTAGTCCAGAAAACATAATAGAAGAGCTAAACCTATTAATTTTAGTAGAAATAGAAAATACACACGCATAAATAAATACATTAAATAAATAAAACAAAATATAAAAAGAGGATATGAAAAGAAGGGGAGGTTCAGGCATATCATTCCATTTTACAGGGAGGGAAGTTGTTCAAAATATCTTATGAAGGGGAACCAAATGTCTTGAAACTTACGTTTCAAACCTCGAATCATATATTTCATCTTTTCCAACTGAATGTGAAACGCTACTTATTTTATCCAGCTGCTATGTGTTGGAGGGTCTGCCCTTTTCCACTGAAATAATATTAAACACCTCGCCAGTAGAGTAGTGAAGACGATAACAGAACAAATGTCTTTCCTGAGTTCTATACCCTCAGGCACCACACCAAAAATACCCATCATAGGATCAGGATCAATCAAGATATCATATATATGTTTATATGATTCAAAAATCTCCCTCCAAAACTCCTCCAGCTTTGGAGACGCCCAGAACATATGAGCAGTTGTAGCAGGCGATTGCGAACATCTGTTGCAGGCGGGGCTAATATTTGGATAAATCTTGGCTACTGTGACTTTTTTTTTATGGGCGGAGCTTAGGTGGAGGCAGAAAGATTCCGAGATGGTCCTCACTGCAGAACACAAGATCCAGGGGGCGTGGATGGATCCAGATCTAACTCCTCCCACCTTACATATACCTAAACCTACCCGTCTCCGCCCCCTGAGCCCTAAACCCACCCATCTCCACCCCCTAGATGTGGATCCAACCCCCGCCCCCTGGATCCTTGTTCTGCAGTGAGGGGCTACTGAAGATTCCCCTGACTGCTTCACTAACGCTAGCTAGCAGGTTTTGTTTGCTTGTTTTTTAACAATGACTGGAGAAAATTCGATTTTATCTGAATATGTAATGTCACTCACTGTCCGGGACGGTGATTGTTATTTGAAAATGTTAACATTATCGGAAGGAACCAGATTGGCCGACTCGTACACACTCACTCAATGGATGGACGATCTGTCAGGAGTGGCACCTGCCAGAAACGGAGTGTGCATGCTAAACAGAAACTAAGGGCATTTAAATCGTTAGATGCCTATAACCATGTACTAACTGTGGAAATTGTAAGCAAATGCAACTACTTGAACACACACCTGACACATAACATGGGCTTTCACTGTTCCCTCTCTCTACTATTGCACTTAAAGCGAGACGACACAAACAATTTCCTTTATGTTTAGTCTAAATGTTTAGTTAAATGATTAAATGTAAATGTCTCTGGTCGTTAGTTAACTTCTGATTAGATGGGCATGAATGAGAACTCTTTAGACTCGTAACCAAACCTTAATCCATAAAAGACAACAGTTTATTTAACCTTAACTGATATGAAGTGTGCGCTGCAAACGCGAGCATTTTTGATGATCGTTTCTGTCCAGTCTGTCTGTTTTATTGCCTTTAACCACAGCTGTCGTCGTTTTTTTTTTGGTCTGGCAATGGCAGCTGGTATGCGATAAAATTTCAAATTGGAGCCTGTACTACTCCATCGATTCTGACACTCAACAACACAACAAGATGACATTTTAAGCTCCTTACGTAGCCAACTCTGTGCTGGTTTGTATTGGCCGCCTCCAGTTATTCCTTTGTTTTGCCTCCAGCTAATGCTGTGACATAATTGTGACGTCGGCACTAAAAAGGGGTCTATATGCAAATAGACTAAACAAATACTTGATTACTTCTGTAGCCCAAAGTGAATAAGCACAAACTGCATGATACAACCAAGAGTGTTCCAGCACACAATGGTGAGAGAAACCATCGAATTCCATTGGTAGGTAAGTTACAAGTTTAAGTTAGGAGTTTGTTCAAATCACTAACCCTAAGTAGCAGGAACAGTAACACTTGTTGCAAGCACCACTAAATATAGCACACTGGCCACTTGACCTCAGAATAAAGCCAAGAGTTCAGGAGGATGGGTTACATGCCAGACAAGTATTATTAGTCTTTCTGTCCAATGGCCAACTGTTGGACTATTTAAAAAAAAAATAATAATAATTTTATAAATAGATTATATACATTCTCCAGGTAAGCCAAAAGTATATATTTTTGATAATAATAATAATAATAATAAGAAGAAGATGTTTGATTTGAGGGAAAACCAATATTAGACATCGATTTCATTGTGTGGCTAAGTACGCAGCATTAATAATAATAATAATAATAATATCAAGGCTCAGAGCACTAAACTGCAGATGCACAAAGTCCGGAATGACGTCATCGCACAATGACATTAGCAGCATGTGTTGCGCCACGCCCACTGAACAACTCCAAATAAAACTGCACATACGACCATTAAACAACGACACATTGTAACAAATATGAATAATTTGGCGCTTAGGAAAAACGTACCTGATTCTTTATTGGTTACAAACTGTAAATACCAGCAGGAACGAGTATATGCGAGATTCAGTACGTGAATGCTAACACCGCTGCTGCTGTGTCACGGACGTGAGCAAAACCATACGTTTGTTCAATCAAAGCGATACAAACCGAAATGAGATAATATGTAAATATTATAACGATCGTTTAAATTTGCAGGTGGTTTGATAGTGACGATCACATGTTAGACTGCTAGCAGCTAGCGTTAGCTGACAAAAATGAAGAGCACTGAAGCGCACTGTAAGTTATAAACAGCAGCCACCACGTGCTTGTCTGATATAATAGCACACGCACGAACAACGCTGAGACGGAGGCATGCCACCTGCACCCATCAGCGCACTTTCCCCTCAGCTGCAACGCGATGCTAGCTCACAGACGCGCACTTTCCTTCACTACAGCGACGTAAACAAACCCCCGTTGCTAAGTGCTACAGTAAATATGACTGACTTTGCTCTTTTAATCGTGCAAAAGGGGCAGAACTCACTGCGGAGGTTGTTGACGAGCTCCGCATGGCTCGCTCCTCCGGATTTCCAGGCCATTGTTAAACACACTCTGCGGATCAGGTAGAGTGCGGCTGTCAGCGCCGCGCATGCGCACACCGCTCTCCCGCCGAGCGTCAGCACGTCCATCACTGCGGCGTCAGGCAGGCTCTGATCATTGCAGCAGATTGGGCACGTCTTCTAAATGCGAAAGCGGAGTGCATTTCTAAATGCAGCAGTCAAAAGAAAACAGTGCTTTAATTATGGTTAAGTCGAGCTATTCGCATCGGGGGAAATAAAGGCCGCGTAGTAAGAAGACGAGTGTTTTCTTTCAGCTGATTTTTAATTGCATCACAAAACATGACGCAGAAGTGTGACGAAATTTAATACGTCACTACAAAAATAAAAAGTCTTGAGGTTAAAATATTTGCCTGTGTTAAAATAATGCATAGAATATATCCAGTAAAACATGCGCTGGAACGCTTTAAATTAGATATTGGTTACTCTTGTGATTTCTGTAAAGGTGAAAAGGAAACTATTTTTCATTCATTTTTTTAATTGCATACATACAAAATATTTTGGATTGACGTGGAGCTTTTTATTAAGAAGAAACTGAACATTTCTCTGCAGTTGGGTGGATTTGATATAATGTACAAACATAATGTGTGTTTTAGACAGATAAAGCATATTTCATACAACTGTTCATTTTAATGGGAAAGTTTCACATTCATAAAATGAAATGGTCAGGCTCCAAACCAAACTTTTCTTATTTTATAAACGATTTCAAGCTTTATTGTAATGTCCTGTGTAACTGCACAAGTAAAAGGCTATTAGAACTCATAATATTATAAGGAGGTATGCTATTGTATGAAGTGAGTTTGTTTATATATATATATATATATATATATATATATATATATCTCTCTTCTGGCACCGTTTTATTAATGTTGTTTATCTTTTTCTGTTTTTCTTATTTATATCTGAATATTTCTCATTGTACTGTTCTGATTTATGGCATTAATAAAAATAAATATTTTTCCTTTGCTTTGTTGAGGTTTACTTAATAAAAGGTAATAGTATAATAATAATAATAATAATACTACTGTTCATTTTAAAAATTACATTATTAATGCAAATCTGAGACAACTAGGGAAGTTAGAAATGACATTTTCTGTGACGCTGCTTTGAATCGAAATAAATGTGAACACAGCAGCGTGACAATTTTATCAAACCGAATCGCGTCTGGTCCTTTGAGGCCGCCGTACTAAGCGAACAACACGGCAGGCGGAGGTGGCGGGATACATTGCTGCATGTGAAGCACGCCGCACTAAACAACAACACAACACAACACAACACGACAACAGTGAGACCCGATGGACCCGATAGCCAAATACATCTCGCAGAAAATCAGTAAGACGCGGTGGCGGCCTATTTCTCCGGCTTTATTACAGCAGCCTGAAGTGTTCGCCACAGGATCCTGGGACAACGAGGCTAGTTGAGATTAATTACAACAGTGCATGTCGCATTCATGTTTCGTTGTTGCTCATGATTCATTGTGTGTTTGCAGAATAACAGCGTGTCGATCTGGTCGGTGGGAGAGCATGGAGTCTCTAACACAGACGGAGAGTTTGACGAAGAGCCTCAGTTACTGTGCGCCTCTCAGCATGACGGGGACGTGATGGACCTGCAGGTGAGCGTCCACCTGTCAACACACCTGCTCACTCGTTACTGTATGCGCTTCCCTTTGTGTGAAAGCACGTGTAATATTGAGAAATCAGCGCTAGTTTGTTGAGAAGGGGAGATCAGAGGCAGCTGTACCATTCACTACATTTAAAAAAAAAAGCACATTTTGTTATACAGAAAATTACTTTGAAATAATATGTGAAATATTTGTATTGGGAGAAAAACAATAATAAAAGGAGTCACTGTTGCAACTGTTACGGCCTGCATGTTTGTTTGGAAAATAGTCTAAGCTGGTTGGTTTTAGCTGGTCAGCAGGCTGGTTTTACAGGGGTTTTTGCCACTTCTTTAGCTGGTCAAGCTCAGAGACCAGCTTAAACCAGCTAAGACCAGCCAACCAGCTTAGGCTGGTTTTAGCGCAGGTGTTTTTTCTGCAGGGATTTACCCACTCAAATAGTAGTTGCTAAACTAATAATATTATCGCTTGAGTATTAATAAATGGTACTGAATAGCTTTTATGTTCTGCTCATTCTTTTAGCTTCAGTCATATATCTTTATTATCACATGTAAATCTAGATCTAAATCCAAAATTTAGTTCTAAACCTCTTCATAACAGTTTCAAACCATGTTTTAAATGCAGCATGCGATGCATTTCGTCATTTGTAGTCAGAAAAGTGGTCTGAGGTCTTTCTTTAATTTGTGGACTAGTCTGATTCAAATAAAACCGTCCTTTGCATAATCTCTGTAGTTTCTAGATCAAGACCGACTCGTTTCTGCGTCATCAAGCGGAGCTGTGATGATCTTTAAGCTTCAGCCTGACTGTCAGGTATGTGTTTTGTTTGTTTGATATTTGCAACAGTCTGATAAATGTCATTATGCACAGCAGAGTCTGACCATTGTGATTGTGGCGTTCAGGCTCTTTCGTTGGCTCATGTGTGGGAGAGGGCTCATCGATATTCTTGTGATAATACACCCTGCACTGCAGTAGTGTGCAGAAGCCCTGAACTAGTGTCAGTGGGTGAGGACGGCCGGGTTACTCTTTACAAGGCAGATCAGACTGAAGTTGTCCGTGTTATTGGTAAGTGTTTTCTGGCTTTCTTTGTAGCACAGACAAAGATTTTATATATAAACGGTTTCATTAATTTCATCCGATGTCTCCTTTAATTTTTGTGTTTCACTCAAAAAAAGTAAGTCTTTGGTAGAGATCGACCGATATATCGATTTACCGATATTTTCCCGATATTTAAGCATTTTTTGTAATATCGGATTCACCGATAAACGCCGCCATCTTATGGGCGTTTTGAGAATTGCGCGCAGGATCGCCATTGCAGCGCGTCTGAGGGGAGACGAGACAACAACAACGGCGTGCAGGTACTTGATATAGTTGCTATAGTTAGTAAACTTTATTTAACATAACAGTAGGGCTGCACGATAAATCGCATGCAAAAAAAAAGATGACTGAAAAGAGGAAAAACCAAAGTGAAGTATGTTCTTACTTCACTCAGTCATTTATTTACTTTATAACAGTAAATAAATATCGGTTCTGCGTATCGGTTATCGGGCACATAAACGTGCAAATAATTGGTATCGGTTATAAAATATCAATATCGGTCGATCACTAGTCTTTGGATATGAGGGTAAATCAAGACAGAACGTTCATTTTTGGGTTAACTTACGCTTACATTTGACCTGTAATGCATATGAGTAGGTCTGACAGGACTGTGTTATTGCCTTTCAACAGAAAATGCAGATAGCAGTACGATTCATGCCGTGACTTTTCTAAGGACGACTGAAGTTCTCACTGTTAACTCCATCGGTCAGCTGAAGATGTGGGACTTCAGACAGCAGAGTGACAGTCCTGCACAAATTCTCTCTCTGTATGATTCACTCACATTAGTCAAAAAACATTAGTATTATTCTATGAAGAAAAACTGTATTCATTTGAATCTCCATAAAACCAATAAGAACAAGTCCATTTACCCTATCAAGAAATCATATTTTGCATGAAGAAAATACTATTTTCTTGGACCATTGTGACATTATTATTTTCCAAATTCTCATTACAGTTCTCAATGACCACTTTAACAAATTGCTGATTACTTGTTCCAATAAACAACATTGACAGATTTTTCCCTGTCAGTGTTTTAACATCTTAAGATGATATTTAGATTTTATAATTTTTATGTTAATTAAAAAAATTGTGTATAATTTTAACTGCTGTATTTTTCTGTTTGCTTGGTTTTTATTTTGTGTTTATGCAACTCTTCTATTATTGTAGCTCATTTTTTGCCATGAAGTCTTAGATGATGACATGGCAATAAAAAATAAGTAACTATTTCTACCCAAGCTTATTTGCCAGCATTCTAGAGAGGACGTCGAAAAGTTGGGTTTCTTTTCTTTGCTCATATCTTTTTACTGCTCATGCAGCACTGGGGACAGAGTGCCCTTGCACTGTGTGGATAAACACCCAAACCAGCAGCACATAGTGGCCACTGGAGGACAGGATGGGATGCTGTGTATCTGGGATGTGAGACAGGGCAATACACCCTTCTCTCTCATAGAGGCCCATTCAGCGGAAAGTGAGTTTTGTAAACACTTGTAATAGACATTCAGAATGATGCTCTTAAACTGAAAGTTGGCATGACGGCAATTCATCCGTGCATGCATTTCTTTTTCTTTCTTTCTTTTTTTTTGACCTCGCAATGTTTAACCAGTCATAACTGGACCTTCCAGTGAATAAGACACCCGCATCTCAAAATCCAATCAACAACTGATGCATAGAACCAAGTCCCCACCCTGCAATTTTCTTTTTCGATAATCTGTTTCATTTGGATGTACGTCACAATATCTGTCGCTGCTTCCGTGTCATCACAACTTTAAACATTTTTGATTACTAACACAGTTGGCAGAAAGTTACCTGGTTGCTTAAGAGATATTGCACAAGATATACAGTAGAAATAACCTTATTTATTAGTTTAGTATTGTCCAGTTTAAATTTGCAAACAACTGATATTATTAACAAGGACAGAAAATAAACCGTGTTATCCTGTTCATGTGAAATGTCAATATTTTACAGTGTTAAAGCTTAAATGTCAAAAACCTGATAAGTGGTCAGCAGCACTGATTATGATCTGTTTCTCTACAGTGTGGGAAGTACATTTTCATCCATCAAACCCCAGTCACTTGTTTACGTGTTCAGAGGATGGTTCTCTGCTACACTGGGAGACAACTTCAGGATCAGACATGAGCACACTCCTACAGAGTAAGCCAAAACTCCCATCACAACTGTAGTGATATTAATAACAATGTGGCTATCTGATTTTTATCTTAAATATTTTTATTGATCAGATTATTATCTGATTTGGTTGGTATGCACATTACAGTTACACTTAAATTTAAGGGGGTCTGAATACTTTCCGTACCCACTGTAAATGTGTCTCAGCAAAACAAAGAAAAAAAAAATTCCCATATATGAATTTTTAAACAAATTGCTACATCCACATCTCATTCATGATTGTTTGCTCACATGTAACAAATTTCCACATGCTGATGTAGATCAATTACATTACCATATGTAACAACCAGATCCATGTACACCTGGCCGAGTCATGTCTTATATATGCCATACACACTGCAGCTAGATTTGGTT